CTTTTTGAAGCCACATGTCCAGTCCTTGACTCAAGCTCAAAGGAATGATGTAAAAGCCAACTTGAACGGCTCTCTGGTTTAAAAGATTTCCGTGTTGATAGAAGAAAGATGAAAGAAGAAGAAGAAGAAGAAGAAAAAGTCTGAAGAATTTTGCAGAAATTTGAATTTGGGCCTATTCTCCAGAAATGCTCCGGCTGCATTACAGTCCACTCTAAAGGTACCAAGAGAATCGCTCAGTGAAGGAGAGCTCATCTAAGCCATTTATAAGGCTGTACAACGTAAGATAAAAGAGTTGTGAGTGTTTGAAAATCATAAAAACGGCCGCCATCTTGAAAAATCAACCTCAATCCTACATATAGGCTACCGCCTATATAATAATATGTACAAACAATTGGGAGTGATTTTGGAGCCATTTTTTGGAAAAAAAGCATGAGCTATTGATTTACAATAGTAATTGCTGTCTCATGACTATAGTGTATGTTCATTATAGGCTACCAGTTTAACTGACTCTGATCTATATTATAGTGAGTGCGAGGGGTCCGCAACTCCTATTTTAGGTGTACGAGATTAAGAGATTAACCAGATTTTTGAGATTATCAGAGATTATTTGAGATTATTTGGAAGATTACAAGAGATTTTTTTGAGATTTCCAAAAATTTTTTGGGATTATCAGAGTTTTTTAGAGATTATTAATTAATTAACTACTTTATAACTTTTAATATTTATTAGTTAAAGTTAGTTAACCATTATAACTATTAATAATTATTGATTAAGGTTAATTAATTTTAATAAACTCCGGATACTAGCAGATATGGTGAGATTATTTTGAGATTTTTAAAAAATTATCAAGGATTTTTTGGGATTTCCAGAGATTACTGGAGATTTTAAAGATTAACAGATTATTATAGATTATTTTCAAGGGTGTACGGGATTATTTGGAGTTGCGGACCCCTCGAGTGAGTGTTATGAAACGGCTGAAGAGAATGGAGACAATGGATCCATTGATTGATAAGTAAGAGAGAGAGAGATAGGGAAGGTGGGAGATAATAGTGCATGGAAAGAAGGGAATGGGTGGGAGAAGGGAGGACACTTCTTATACTTTTGTCTTTATTATTATTATTGTTCATTCTGTAGCGGTTGTAGAGCTAAAATGGTGATTTGTTTTTGGCGGTATAAAGTAGATTAGTTGTGTCATTCAGTTACTTATTTTACAGACTTTTTTGAGTTGGCTTATATGCATGGACTTCAGACTGAAGCAGTAGTTACATGATGTACTCTAATGTTTGCATTATATGACATCATAGTTAATTTGGCAAGTCAGTTTATCTACTTCTGATTAAACCTTTAATGTTGCCTAGCTACTGATTAACAATTAAAACCACCACTTAAATTCCACTTTATACCATTCTTTGAATCAAAGCGTGGTTACAATCTAAGCTATAATATTCACACAACTGCATAGATGGGATGCATGCT